TTACTCTCTGTGCGTAGAACAAAATTCACTTTGTCCCAAATTTTGATGTGTAATTTTCTTTTAACATTTTTCAAATTTTTATTTACAAACACAATACTTTATTAAAATAATACCATGAAGCCTTAATGTCAAATATGTTAGCTCTTGAGGCTAAAATCAAATTAAACATCGACCCAAAGAGAGATATTTCAAAGTGAAAATCACATTATTTTTCTATTTAATTCAAGATATTTAAACACCTTTATAAATTCTCTGATAATTTTGTATCAGAGTTGTTAAATTTTTTTCCACAATTCTCTTTTTGGAAGTAAGATAGGTAAGGTTTTTTACCTTAGAAACTTGGAGCCAAACTATCAAACGTCTCGGCTAAAACCAGACTCAGTCTGTCTCAAAATTTGATATTCCTAAATCAAACACTTTGATTTATCGGTCAAAAAATTGAAGCCTACCTGTTAGATGTCTTAGCAATTAAATCTAAAAGCATTTATCATATTCTACGCAGTTAAATTAGATTAAATTGCTCATGTATGCTCAAGATTGTGTACCAGTTTTGTTCCATACAAGATTAAGACATTTTCTATTTAATTCAGCTTGAAACCCTGAAGCCTAATTGTTCAATACCTTAGCTCTTGATGTTTTAGCCAGATTCAGCATGCTACAAAATTTGATGGTTTTGGATCTGTGATAAGTGTAATAGTTTGATAATTATATTTTCATATTCTTGGAGCCTAACCATCAAAGTCTTGGTTCTTGAGGCTAAAAAAAAGTCCAAATATGCCCGATATGCTATGAGCATAGCTTTTTATTGGTACTTTTATATAGGTACCTTGGGCCAACGTGTCAAATGTTTTGGCCCTTGAGGTTAAAACCAGACGCGAAATATGCTCAAAACAGTCGTAATTCTCAAATTTTACAAGAATTTTTTTTAGTTAATTAGGCCTAAACCCTGTAACCTTTTATTTTTTTTACTTAATTCAATAACAGAATTGGGCTCTATGAAGCTAAACAAGTTGAATGAGTATATGCTGCAAAGATAGATATTCTTAAATTGCTTTAGATTTTCTCATCCGCTGATCATCCTTTTTCTTTCACCTAATCAATCAAAATCTGGAGGCTGAAACCAATTTCAATCAGTATTCTCTTGCAATTATATTTTAGCTTATTTTGATTGATATTCAGTCATTTTTATGATTAATTGTCAACCTTCTGATAGTTTTTTTAACATTCAGTTTGTAAGAAACAATCCTGACAAATGCAAAAAGAGAACCATTTAGTTTTATAACGAGGACTGGAAGAGGCCTTTAGCCAAAATGCCTCAGCTGAAATATTTTAGATAGCATAAAATGAAATTGAAAATACATGCTGTAAATAGCGAGATATTTTAATTGCATTTTTTCATTCTTTGATTCTTGAAAAACGGCCCCACGGAATTAGTTTTGTTGTTATTTAAATATTTACCATTTCTCGCTGACCGGGACCAAAATTTTTTTTACGTCTTAACGCTTTCAGAAGCATGCGAAAATATATGGATTATTTTAATTTTTTTGTCGAGAATATGAACAGGAACACAGTTTTTTGTCGTTTAGAAATTTACCATAGATCCTACAAACGATAGAAAATAACATTTAAACATGCATAAAATTAATTCAGGTTGATTTGTTATGACTCTCTCGTGATCTCAAAGGAATTACTGGTGGGCACTGAAAATAATTGCTTTTTTCGGTTCGACTGATAAATTGTGATATGTTGGCTCAAAATTAAATAGCTCCATTCCTGGGGGCAGACGGAAAAGCTAAGATATAATCTTAAATTACTTTTCACACCAACTACGAACTCCTTGTGTTTATCAGAATATTCAAAAGCGATCATATTGAATTTATCCCTAAATCCAGGTAACTTTCACGTTCGTTTGCATAGTCAGCCAACACTTAAGCACTGAATAAGGTTTTATACTTGTTTAATGTTTGTACTTTTTCATGCAAACCACGACCCTGAGTTCTATCGCTCTTATTAATTTATCGTTTATTTCTATTTTATTTCAGATTGAGCGGCGAATATCTCTGACCATCAAGGAAGGATCAAACAAGAAAGACTGTAAAAGTATTTATTCAGAGGTACAAAACAGAAGTACTCCCTTTCTCTCGAGGATCCGAAGAGTTCAAGCTAACACTTGTACGCCAATTTTGAGGAGTGTAAGCAAATGTTGAAATCGCAATTTTGTTGGACCGAGAAAAACTATTAATTATGGGCTGTTTAACGATTCAAAATTTTCCCGCCAAAAAACTTAGAAAAAATACGGTGCTCAAAAATACGCATGCGCCGTTTTTTTTGTTTTTATTATTTCACCAGTGCTTCATGTAATCAAATTTGTTTTTTACCAATAAAAGTTATTTGTTGTCTTGTCTCTTGTATATTTGGTTTATAATAGACTCGTTAGAGTATTCAGTTCTTTGTAATCTTTATTGTCTCTGATAAGTAATTCAATAAACAACAATCGTTTTTCTATAACTTTTTATTCATATTAATTGATTAAGTTATTTTCAATTAACTAGCTGTCAAGAAAACTTTTCGTGTATATACTAAGACTTTTGGCGGGAAAATTTAAACGAATTTGCACAGAGTTTCCCCTAACAACTTTTTGGGCAAAAAATTAAAGAGGATTCCTTTGAAAATTTCCCGCCAAATATGCAAACATTACCTCGTACAAAAATATTGAGATTAAAAATGCCAAATTGAGGATTTAAGTTCAAATTTTTCCAAGTTTTCAGTTCGTTGCACGAGGTAATGTTTTAAGCAACATGAAAAGGTACAGCCTTTGCGATAAAATACATGTTTAAGGCCAAACATACTATCTGTTCTCAAATTTTCTTTTTCTT